TTATTCAAAAAATATATATGGGAAAACTCTATTTAGGACTAACCAAATAATAAAACGATGAAGTTCACGACTTCGATCATGTATCCGTTCACGTATGATTGACTTGAAAAAGTCATCAGCTGATTATATCATGTCGTCTTGTTATAATTCAAAAGTCAAATTAAAAGCTGTTGAATCCAAATATCTTTGAATGGAGTAAAGGAAATATCACAAGAAAAGGGTAATTCGTATTGTTTATGAGAGAATTAATCCAGTGAGAAGAGTACATTATTTTGTCCAAATATTGCCACTCAAAACTTCAAAAGTGATGAATTTAATTTTCTAGCTTGGCCAGCTAGCTTTATTAACATGCATGGACTTTGTTACTTCTCCAAAGATAAGCTAGCTAATTAACACGAGCAAAATTTGTTTTTACAAGTACTATAAAAAATTTAAAACTTATAATTTAATTTTATGGTAAGATAATCAATTAGAAAGATAAAAAGTAACAATACTTAAACCAAAAATGTAAAAATGTAATTTGTGAAAATTAAAATGGGCACAAAGTCTCTTATTTAAAAGTTACTCCGTATTAAATAGTTGCACTCTGAAGACCGTCTTATACATGACTTATTCGTTAGTAAATGGTGGTAATGAATTAATATGCACTCCTAATCCATAATTAGGAATTGAAAGTCATACGTCAACTGTATTAATTAGCCCAAATTAAATTTCTTCTTCCAATTCCCATCATTATCCCTTTGTGGACATTATGGTACGAGGATAATGAGAATTTTTGAAGAAAAATACAAGTTAACAATTTTATATTGGAAAAAATGACAAAAATAATCCCAACTTTGCCTCATTCGCTCAAAATAATCCCAACTTTGAATTATTTTTTAATAATCTGAACTTTGGATTTTTTTTTAATAATTCGAACTTTGATATGAATTTGCTTTCAATGGTCCCAAGTGAACGGTAACTTGTTGAAAAGGTTAATATATATATATTTTATATATATATATATATATATATATATATATATATATATATATTGCAATGTAAATTACACATGTAATTACATGATTGGTCAAAAAATTATTAGTACAAATTAATATTTAACTAATTATTTTAAAAATAATTTTAAAAAACCACCATCAGCCACCTTCCCTACCCTCCACCTCCACTGTCGCCCGCCCCAACCCAGCCTGCCCCCAGCCTCAATGCCGCCTTGACTCCTCCCGCCAGCATCCCCCCTCACCGCTGCGACACTTTACCGCAACCCCAACCTCTCCCTTTCCTCGCAAACCCCTTTTGCAACTAATTAACTCCCACTCGCAACCCCCTTCTGCAACCACAAAATTGGAAAGGGTTTGGGGGTTTGGGTGAGATTCCGACAGGGGTCGCGGTTCGCGGGAAGGCTGAGGGTTCATAGTCAGCAAGGTAAAGGTTGCGGGTGGGTTCCTTGGTTGATGGAGAACTGGCGAAGTGGATTCGAGGAAGGGGATCGGTAGGGGTGTCGAGATGGGGAAGGGAAAAGAGGTGGTGTCGTCGGCGCGGGAATGTGGTCTGGACGGCGACCGACCTAGTTGGGTGGTGACCTAGGCTGGGTAGGGCGCTGGTGGCGGTTTTAAGTCAATTAATTTTTTTTAATTATTATTTTTCTTAATAAATTCTTAAATTTGTTTTAATTTTTTAATTTTTATTTTTAATTTTTTTTATCAAACCATATGCTGACACGTGTCAAATAACTTGTTATAACAAGTTAGATTACTGGTTGGGACCATAGAAAACAAATTCATATCAAAGTTCGGATTATTAAAAATTAATCCAAAGTTAGGACTATTTTGGGCGAATGAGACAATGTTGGGATTATTCTTGTCAATTTTTCCTTTTATATTTTAATAGGATAATAATTGATGTGTTCAAATTATTCAAAAATTAATTCCTATAAATGTCATTTACTTCATACCACACACTAAACAACCAATAAAGATACTACCTCCGTTTCATATTTTTTGCAATTTTTGGGTATTATTGTGAGATATAAAATATTCCAAAGTTGCAAAAAATATGAAATGGAGGTAGTATATAAAAAGTTAAAAACATGTAATTATATATTTATATTACTCCGTACTATTTTATTATACAAACCATAGAATGAAAATAATATTGTATACCCGGGTGCACCATACGACAAAGAACATACTGTTATTTGACAAAGAACATAACGTGTATGACAAAGAATATACTTATATTTGACAAAGAACATACCTATATATGTTTGATAATATGTTCTTCTATACTTATGTTCTTTAACATATGTTGATTAAACATATTTTTTGGGTTTCAATAATACAAAATACGAAGTATATTCTTTGAATTTGGCTCGTATGTTCTTTGAATTTGGTTCGTATGTTCTTCGAGGTAATGAGTACTTTAACGTATGTTGTTTAACTTATGTTCTTTAACTTATGTTCTTTTAACATATGTTATTTTGAAATTTGAAATTTAATTTGAAAATGAAATCTTGAATTATTTTTAGCTGAAAATAATTTTAGAGAGAGAAAAATAAAATTATTATGGAAAGTTGAATGTTTGGAGTGAGAGAAAACTAATTTTGGGGAAATGATATCTTTGGTAAAGAGTTTTTCCGTTAATACGTAATTTTTCAAGAAATTTTAATAAAGTTTTTATCATGTTCTTTTTATAATGTCTTTATGTTATTTAGTAATGCATGTTCTTTGTTAAAAACAAACATATTCTTTTTCAAACACCTAAATGTTCTTTTTCAAACACCTCCTAATGTTCTTTCCGCTTTTTTTTTTTTTTTTTTTTTGTGTGTGTGTGTTTAACTAGGTGCACGAGTGCACCAACCACACATTGACCATAGAAGAGCGCAGGGACAAGAAAAAACAGGTAATATTTGCATGTGATAAAAGACAATCACAAATAGTTAGTTGCAAGAGAAGTCGGAGAAACGAAGGAGGTGGTCTACATACGCATTAACACATGCATGAGCATGACACGGTCAACACACACGGAACCACTACATTACGCCTTAACTTAGCTTTGGCTACTTGGCTTGATTATTGCCTTAGCTTACTCGACAAGTTAATCAAGAATAATAATTAGTTTTTGCGGTGATCTCAGGCAACTACCGTTCACATTCACATTTATACTGTGTTATGCATATTCAAGTATTTGCTGTTTTTCCCATTTTTATTTAGACCCACCTTTTTTTAACTGTCACAAGCAATGTGCACATTATCTTAACTTCCCCTTCCAGAATTCTATACCACTATCTATCTTCTTCTTCGTTTCCTCGTCATGGCATATAATGTTATGTTACTTGTCCTACAATATACCAAGCTTGTGGGAGTATTTACCTCATTTCCCTGTGGTCCGTGGCGCTACAGTACACTTTCTTTGTTTCAGAATAGTTAATCGGAATACAATATTTTTTTTTATATAATGATTGTCAATACATAAATTCAACTGTAAATATCTAATAACATGTCTTAACCTGATTAGAAAAAATATATATTCTTGTTTGATTAATTTGGATATTTGATTACTTTCTCAAAAAAATTTGGATATTTGATTTAGATGATCAATAAAATAATTTTGCTCCAAAATAAAATTTAGGAAATTTTCATTTTTACCACCTTCAAATAATGACTTTGTCGAATTTACCACCTCCAAAAAAAAAAAACATTTACTTTACCACCTCATAAAAAAATTAAACATCAGTTTTACCACCTCATCTGAGCTCAGGTGACGGAAAACGCTTGTGGGGCCCAGCATAACGGCTAGTTTTTGATTTTTTCCCAAATTTCTCTCGATTTCCCTTTTATTTAAACCTAGTTCTTCATTTGTACACCAAATTCTTGCAGATTGGAGATTAATTTTTGCGATTTTCTTCGCAAATCAGTATTTTTGGGCAACCTTAACAATCCCAAACCCTCTAATTATCAAACAATCAATTGAACTCCTCGACAACAAGCATAAAAAAGGTAAGCCATTGTCGTTAATTCTCTAGCAATTTTCGTGATTTCTGTTGTAATTTTTTGGCAATTCGTTGCGTGATTATGTTGCATTTGCTAAGAGTAATTGAAATTGGGCGTTTTGTGAGGTCAATTAAACCCCAATTTCAATTAAAATACTTAGGGTTCATGTAAGATTAAATTAGATTGGGGGTTTTTGTTATGTGAATTGGCTACTGAAATTAGGGTTATATTATGGTGATTGTGTTCAAATACAATTAATTTCATTCTTGTTCTTACTGAATTTCAGAAGGGAATGTCTTCAGTTAGCATGTCACCCTCAAAGGAGAAAAAAATGCCAATGTGGAGTTCCAATGTTTAGGCTGACTGCTTGGACTAGGGAGAACCCTGGACGCAAGTTTAGGACCTGCAAATTCTATGATCCTGTGACTGAGTCAAGGGGGTGTAAAGCTTTTGAGTGGGTGGATCAACCAGATGGAACACCTTGGCAAACAGAGATGATTAACAACTTGCTGCTGGACAAGAAACTAATGATGGGAGAGCTGAATGACATGAAGAGGGAAGTTGATGATGTTAGTGGACAAAGGAGGTGCTTGCTCAATGAGATTGACAGCTTGAAGATGAAATGCAAAGCTCTTAGCTCAGACAAGAAGAAGATGATCAAGGAAGTGCATGGCAGCAATGCAACAACAAAGAAAATGCTCACAGTACATGCTATTGTTGTGTTTTGTTGTTTTGGTTTGGTACTGGCTATGTATTTTAGATCTTAGGTTCATTTAGGAATGCTTAGAAACAAAAAAAATCCCCAACTTATGTTGTGTTTTGTTGAATTATTATGTGTGGATGTTGGGATGACATTTCTTGTACTACTTTTAACTAAATCAATGAGAAATGGAACTTTTTGGTAGAAACATATCACATTTCGTATTAGTACTTGCAACACAATGTTTTTAATTGTTTTACATTGGCTGAGATAAAAGTTAAGGCACCTTTGTGCAAAATCATTATTCAACTATCATTGTTCAACTACCAAATAAACTTGGCTGTCTATTACAAAATACTAATGAGTAGACCTAGGGTCACAGTTGATTGAGATCCTTGTCCTTCTTGCTTGTCATTACATGAAGCTTGGACCTGGTCTGTATTTTGACTTTGGGAGGAGTAGTTGTTGGCACTCTTGTGGGCTGACTCAGGCTCCTGTTGCTCCTGGTAACAAGCTGAGTTGGCAAAGGCTCTGTTCTTGTTGCAGGCTGGCTTGACACAGCAGTTGCAGGTGCAGCATTACTTGACTCAGCCTGTGCTGTTGTTGGAGGCTGATATTGTGGCAACTTCAGTGCAGCCTGCAATCACAGTATGACAAGACTAAAAAACAAAGCCACTAAATACACTCAAGTCACAAAATACACAAAATACCTGTCTTGCTGCTTTCTCTTCACTTTTCTTTCTCTGTTCCTTAAGCCAAGGAGTCTGCATCTGTGGCCCCCCACCCTTTGGATTTGTTGCAGGTGGGTTAGGTTGTTCTGGTGCTGCTTCAGCCTTGCATGTTTTGGCAAAGTGGCCAAACCCACCACAGTTCTTGCATTGTTTCTTCACCTTTGGCTTCTTGCCCTCAGGTGCTGCAGAAGTGACCTCCCCTGGTTCAAGCTTTCTCTTTTTTGCCTTAGGTCTTCCTGGCTGCACTTTCAGCATAGGTGGCAAAGGCTGTCTGAGCTTGACCTTTTCCCAATTCTTAGGGCCAGACATTGGCTGTATTGGGTTCTCATATGCAGCCAAGTATGTCACCCTATAGTAATGTGGGTGCACATACAACTCAGGATCATCCCTTTGTCCATTATGCAAGCAAATGCATGGACACAAGGTATTCCTGTCAACTCCCATCTATAACAAGTGCATTTTCTCTCTTGTAGATCCATAATGCACTGATCATCCTTGTATTTCACCTCATAAATTTCATCCCTTGAAGCTGTAACCTCACATGTCATGGCATACTTCTCCAACCCATTAAAGACTTTGTTGACAAATGGGGTTAGTAAACCTTCCCAAGACTTTGCTGCCTCCCATTTGTCATTACTCCTCTTCATCATATATCTTCTAAGCCATTCCATTTGAGTTAGAATAGGCTTGTCTCTGGCATCTCTAATCACTGCATTAAATGTCTCACACATGTTGTTTAACAACAAGTTAGACTTGCAGTTTGTAGAGAAAGAATGCCTTGACCAGTGCTGGGGGTCAATGTTTGACAGCCACTGGTATGCTTCTTCATCCAAAAAATTGATACTTTCCATAGCAACTTCAAACTCAAACTGATACAACCACACACATGACAACCATTCAACACAACATAGACACATGGCATACAATTTTCACAAAATAGAAAGACATGCAAATATGTGCAAAACTAAATGTTCCTAGCATACATTATAGTTCACCATAAAACTGACATAAAAGAACCTAAATAGAAGCTTACCAGAGTGCTTGCCCTAGCAGCAGCCCAGAACAATTCCTTGAAAGTTGCACCATGAAATTTCAGTTTGAAATTTGACCAAATATGCCTCACATAAAATCTTAGCTCAGCTTTGGGGGCCACATCTGCAAATGCTTCTATGAGACCTTACACACAAGGCAAAACTAACAAGTTAGTGTACAGAAAATTCAAATAAAGCAAAGTAATTTAAACACAAACACAACCCACTTACTTTCTGTCTGTCAGACATAAAAGTCAAGCCATCTCCTTGGTCATACACACAAAGTGCCTTGAGCAAGCTCTCCAGAAACCAGCACCAGCTGTCCTTGTTCTCAATCTCTGCAGTTGCCCAAGCAATTGGGAAGATGGCATTATTGCCATCTTTTCCAACTGCAACCAAGATCTGCCCAGGGTATGCCCCTTTTAGATGGCACCCATCCACCCCAATTACTGGTCTGCAACCAGAAATGAATCCATCCCTAAGTGCAGCTAAGCACACAAACATCCTCATAAAAATTGGTCTTTCAATTTGATTAATATCATCCACCACCACATTACACTCACTCCCTGGGTTCCATTTCAGCAGTGCCTTCCCATAGTCCCAAACCTTTGAGTATTGCTCTGATGAAGAGCCATATATTATAAGCTTTGCCCTGCTTCTAGCCAACCAAGCCTTGGAGTATGTAATTTTGATCCCCAAGTCATTTAAGGCCCTGTCCTGAATCTGTTTAATCTTCCATCTGGGGTTGCCCCTGAACTCCTCCAAGTACCTGTCATCAAGGAACTCTGCTGTCACCTTGTTGTTCATTTTACTCCTAACACACCTATGCTTCAGCCTTAGTATCTTAATTTGCTAAGCCTCTGATTTCACAAGCCTTGTTGCATAAAACTTGAACCTACACCTAACACCCTTACTACATGTACACTTCACTATCCTACAACTGTTCTTGTTATACACACACTTGCATTTCCTTTTGCAATATGCTGTTAGCCTCTTTGAATCATTGTGAAGAAGGTAATACTCATACCTATTTTCAATTGCATGTTGTCTCAAAGCTTTTCTCATTGTTTGCACATCACTGAACCTTTGACCAACTACAAATTTGATAGCCCTTTCAAAGTCTGTCTCAGGGTTAAACCAAGTAACACTACCCTGATCATCATCTGAATCACCTTCCACACTCTTTAGCTCATCAGAATCACAAGCTACCTCCTCTTCAACCCTCACTTCAATTTTCTGTAGATTTCTTTCTATGTCAAACCCTGTGTCCTCATCATCACTTTGATCCCCTCCTTCAGTAACTCCCCTCAAACTGCCTTTCACCTCACTGTTAATATGGTCTAAATTTTTCTTCAACCACTGTTCATCATCATCAGAGTATAAGGCCTCCTCTCCCTCATCAACTTCTAACTCAAAATCACTCAACTCAGAATCAGAAGACTCTGTATCACCATCCTCATCAGTAAACACATCACTGTCATCCCTTAAGCTCCTCACTCTTTCTTTTATTTTTCTCACTAAATTAGCAAAATTTCCAGTCTCATCCCCAACCTTAGCCTTACCCTTATCTGCAGCAGTGAGTTTACCCTTCCCTTTATGTGTATTAGCATTCACTTTCTCTGCCCTAGGAAGCCTCTCCTTAGCCTCTCTGTCATGTATAACAATGCCTTTTAACCTAGGGCTTCTCCTAAATGGCTCTTCTTCAGTGGGCTTACTAAGTTCTGGGCTGGGTTTATATACTTTAGGCCCACCAAACCTCTTTTTCAGTTCCTTCCTTTGTGCAGGGGTTAGCTCATTCCCAGCTATACATTTGAAGGGTGTTTTGTTAGTCCCTTCAATTGGCTCATGACTGGTAACATACATCTCACATGCCCCCTCTTTGTTCACAGACTCTAGGAAATCATTCACCTCACCATCAACAAGCTCCCTTTTACCATTCACCCAAGACTTGCCCTTTTGTTTATACCAGCAACTAAACCCCCTAGGAACCTTCACATTCACATACACAAACCCATGTATAGCTGCTTGCCTCAAAAAGTGTACATCTATCTTATTTTTTTTCACTTTTCTCATCCAATAAATCCACCCACCATCCCAAGTTAACACCCTCCTATTTTTACCAGCTAAAGAAGGTATAAAGGCACCCCCTACTGTAATTTTTAAGTCCACTGTGTCCATTCTGTAACAACACCAACAAAAGCACACACAGCAATAACCAATTTCAGTAATTACAGTAAACAACAACAACCAATTCACCAATTACAGCAAGTAAAAGCAATTCACATTGACTATGCACTAAATTAACAGTAAACAAGTAAATCTAATTAACTAATTATTTAACAAATGCACACTCTAATTCAGTCAAAGATTCGCATAATTAGGGTTTATAATACTTTAATTCACAGATTCCCAAAAAAGGCATACTTTACCCCAATTGACAACCATAAATCCAACGAAATGTACTAATAAAGGGTTTAAAGTACATCTTGTAGTCAGGAATCTCGATTTCTGTCAGCAAATTACCAAGCTTTTGGTCCCCTCACCCTGTGGAAGATGACAAGAGAAGCTGATGTGTTGCAATTTTGTGGTTCCAGCTCGATTTCAACCGCCCAAATTGATCTAGGGTTTCAGTTTTTACAGAGAGAAAGAGAAAAATCAAAGGAGAGAGAAGCAGTTACAGTGAGAATCAAGAAAAATCAAATGAGAGAGAGACGAAAATTGATGAGGAAGTGAGAAATTTGGTGAGACATTGATTATGGAAGGTGGAAGGTGAGAAAAGGAGGAGACAGAGGGAAATCGATTTTAAAAGAATTAAATTGGAGGGAAGTGACAGTTAACTGGGCCCCACAAGCGTTTTCCGTCACCTGAGCTCAGATGAGGTGGTAAAACTGATGTTTAATTTTTTTATGAGGTGGTAAAGTAAATGTTTTTTTTGGAGGCGGTAAATTCGACAAAAGTCATTATTTGAAGGTGGTAAAAATGAAAATACCCTAAAATTTAACATAGTACACTAACAAATTGTTAGTTCCTACTCCGTACAATACTTTACAACATAACAATTAATGAACATAATTAAACAACACATCATGAAAATTTTAATGTACTCTTATGACTTTTGACTACCACAATTTTTTTTTAAATGGACGGTTGAGATTGTTTGTTTATTTATTTATTTATTTTTATTTTTTTTTTGAAAGGGAGATTGTTTGTTTATTTATTTCTCTTTAATTAGTAATTTTGATTAAAAAGGATTTTTTTTAAAGATTTATAATAATCCAATTAGTGGGTCCAAATTGTATCAGTTTCTCCAACAACCAAAATTGAGAAATTTCTCATTCAAATTAAATTATAGAAAGCAATGGTCTGCTTTCCTCTATTTTAGACTGGTGTTTTTGTACTCGGGGTGCTTCCTAACTGTTTGAGGTATCGACATATGTGGACCAGTTTGCCTAGCCGACCAACTTTTGAAGTATTCTTAAAGTTTCATATGAATTGGATTTTGATGTTATTAACTATGGTAAATCTTCTTTTGAAAACAATAGTAAATCTTCTTCGTTCGTAATTAAGATAATAATCCTATAGTTCCTAACTTCCTACAAACAAAAATTAAAAAAAAAAAAAAAAAAAACTATCTGCGGATAAGTGCTTATTTCTTTCAAATAATATCTTAGTAATGTTTGTTATAGTGCAATATGAACAAATTACGGGCAAGAAAAACTAATGATGATGTTTGTATTTTAATTGTTGTCACGTCACTTGAGAACTTAGCGTAGGAGAGTGTAAGCCTCTACCGCCCTATAGCTTTGCTGAATTCCATGTCCAAAATCCATCATTTAACCTTCTGGCCCATTGTATTTGTTGGCCCAATAAAGGAATAACTAACTTATAGCTCAAAATTTTCTTTAGCAAAATTGAGATTATATGTCACCTCAAATGTTTAGATGATCCTTAGGGTTGTAATATCGTCGATAAATTATCACCCATGACATTACCGTCCCACGAATTATATATAAATAAACCCCGAAGCTATAATCATGGATCAGTGATATAAATTTGCAAAGTAACAAGTTGCAATAGAACAAAGTAACATATCATATGATTCATATCACATTACATTCATTTACCAACAAATGAATAAAATTGAGTACTTAACAAAGAGTTTTTCAAGGAGCTTTGAGTGACAGCCCCTTTTATAAACCTCAACTACACACACACTCCAACTAAAACATTACAAGAAATTTAAGAATGACTAAAACTAGCAATAATTGGGATGACAATCAAAAGTATAATCACCAACAATGCAATAATCCCAATACACATACACTTCCTACTACCCCTTTGATAATCCTTAGCCTGCTTCAAATTCTTTGTACCATCTTGCACATAATTTGATGCATTCATAACATGATGCTCAATATCATCCAATTGTTCCCCTTGAGACTCCACCATCACAGCCATGTCTAAGAACACTTGGTGTAGCTCCAAGAGAGACCGTTCGATTTCCTTGGCCGCATCATACCGGCCTTGGATCTCTATCACTGTCTCCACCACCTTGCCTCGGCCGTGCTCTTGGATGGCATGGGATAAGATCTCTCCTTCCCCGGTCCCATTCGATATGATCTTTTCGATCACGTTGTCCTCCGGGTACTCTCCTGTGACAGTGTAGTAGCACCTTCCTATTGTCTCCTTGTACTCTGACATCATTCTTTGCCTTAAGGCTTGGAATTCCATCATTAGCTCCTTTAGCTTCTTTCTTAGTCCGTTTGTCACACATGTTCTAGTCCTGTAATTAGAATAAAAATATTTAAAAAATTGAAATTACATCAAAAAAAATTCCAATCTTCCACAATTCGCATGAAACCCTAACACATTGATCTAGTCCTGTAATTAGAATAAAAATATTAAAAACATTTAAAAAATTACATCAAAAGTTCCCAATCATCCACAATTCTCATAAAACCCTAACCGCCACAAACTTAACAGATTTAATCATAATTTAATTCTCTTTTATCTATATATAAAAATCCAACAAATTTCCCAAATTTTACCAAACATATATCAAATTCTATCTCAATTACCAATTTAAATCTTCATACTATATCAATTATCAAAACCCATAAAAAAATTGATACTTTCATCTACTGTAATCTGATCTTAAAACAATTAAAGCCTACAAAATTCCCAATTTTAGCATAATTTAAATCAAATTCTACTTCAATTACCAATTAAACCCTTCACACATAAAAAAAATAATAATAAAAAAAATTCAATAATAATCGCAAACACTTAAATAACCCATAAATTGCAAAATTAGCAGTTTATACCGATCAATGGGGGTACCCAATTCAGACGAAAGGCGGCGATTCTCAGAAGTAGCACGGTCCATTTGTTCAAGCCGAGCCTTAATAGCTTTAGCCCTTTTGAGCACAGACACAATATCAGCATTGATTCGGCCTCGGAGCGCCTTCAAAGCCTCCGGCTTATGCAATGATTTACTTTCCTCATTCGCCGCTTCAAGGGTAGTTAATATGTCTTTAATCAACCCCATCTCAGCCTTCACCTTCTCTGCTTCTTCCAAAAATTCCTCCATTTTAGGGTCTAAATTTGCTCCTCCCATCCCCATTTCCAAATCTTGTTCTACGTCTTTCGATGCCGCCTTCTTCAGATCTACATAGCTCAGAAACGATTTTGTCATCAAATCATTCATTATTGCAAAAGATGGAATTTTTTTTTCACCTGTGATTTGGTACTATATTTGGAAGAAAATCTAAAACTATTTATGTTGAGATCTGATTGAAAGAGAGAGGAGAGAGAAAGTGAGATTGGTGTGTTGAGAAAATGAGGAAAGCAAGGAAACAGAAGTTATATTTTTGACTGAGAGAGTTGAAGGAGATGACCGTTGGAGATGATCAAATATTTGAACGTTGTAAATTTATTGCGTAAAGGACTATAATACCCTTAGAACTGTTGTGGTTTAACCGTTTAACGTTTAGAATTGAGATTTTTTGCTTTGGGAAGAGGAGGGCTATTTGGTCATTTGAGGTTATTTAAAATTTTGTAGCCGTTGTGGTTTGAGATGGGTGACATGCTGACAGCTATCAAGGCCTATAAGATTGGACTTGGAGATTGTGTAATTGGGTTGGGCCGGAAAACCCAAACCATAATTTTTTAATGGATCACTATTCTTACAAGTATTTATAATTTTTTTTTTTTTTTAATTTTTTTTAGGAAACGTTAGGGCATACTCATATTAAATTATTGGATTAGCTCCCATGCGATGTCCGGATATAACACAGAAAATTAGTGAGAATTTCTGCGTAAATTTTCGATGATATTATTCCCTCCCTCCCATAATACTTAGGATGTTGGGATGGACAAGTAATATAAGAAAACTATAAGTAAGTCCATTTAAAATTTTTGTTTATTGTATAAAAGATTCTTTTTTGTGTTTCTATATTGTAAGAAAACAACAAAATGGGGTGGGAGTAGGGTAAGTGAGGAGAGAAAAAATGTGGGAAAATATATGTTTATTAGTGGTCCCATTCCGTTTTTAGTAACATGTCAAGTATTGTGGAACGGACGAAAATAGGAACTGTGTCTAGTACTATGGGACGGAGGGAGTATACAAACTCAAATATATAAAACCCACAAAAATAACAAATTAGACAATTGGTCAAATGTATTAAGTCCACAAAATTGAAAATTTGAGGAGCATTTGCCTAAGTTAATTTCGAACTATTTAATTCAAAGTTGAAGGAATTGGAAATTTGTAATTACGAGGAATTAATTCAAATTAGGCAAAAAGATTTAATCTCCATTAGTCCAATTTTTAACCTTCGAAAGGTTTTTTTTTTATAAATAAAAATACAAAATTCCCCAAATAAATATTGCTGATTTGATTGAGATCCAAATTCATCAATATAATTACCTAATAAAATCGCTTCAATTAGAACTCAAACAAATAACCTTAAGTTAAAAAAAAAAATATTTACTGATTTAGGGAATAACAGGGAATAACAGAAGTTTAAAGATCACAATTCAATTCAAACAAACTAACCATAAAATTTCTCATCAAAATTCAAGCTCTTTAATTTAAGTAATTTAATATCACCTATTAAAATAAGTAATTTAATGTCACAATATTTTTTTTTTAAAATGACATTATCAATGGATTTAGGCGGGAAAACTTTTCATAAGAAAGTAACACATGTACAGTTTGAAAAGAGTGATTATATTAGGGGTTGTTATTTTAGTATAGATTTTCCACCAAAGTAGAAACGTTTTGGGAAAAAGAACCCATACAAACTAACTCATTGTTTTCACGGGTGTCCCATCTAGCGATTAAATGGACCACCGTATTCCCTACACGTTTTACTTGTAAAACTTTAAATGTTGAAAATAGGATAGTACACCTGGGTGCACTATGTGCATGGTGCACCCGAAAGACGGAAAGAACATACGGTTGTTTAATAAAGAACATATTGTGTTTGACAAAGAACATACCCATACATGTTTGATACTATGTTCTTTTATACTTATGTTCTTTAACATATGTTGATTAAACGTGTTTTTTGAGTTTCAACAGTACAAAGTATGTTATTTGAATTTGGTTCGTATGTTCTTTGAAGTAATGAGTGATGCACAAATTCTTTTTTGAATTATCATATATCATTTTTTTATTATCCTACGTTTTTGAGTTTGATCAGTGTGTTCTTCTGATATGAATTATGTGTTATCTACATTATAATATATTTATGTTCTTTTAACCTATGTTATTTTGAATTTTGAAATTTAATTTGAAATGAAAATAAAATCTTGAATTTTTTTTAGTTGAAAATATTTTAGAGAGAGAAAACTAAAATTATTATGGAAAGTTGAATTTTTGGAGAGAGAAAAAACTATTTTTGGGGAAATGATTTCTTTGGTAAAGATTTTTTCTGTTAATGTGTACTTTTTCATAAAATTTTAATAAAGTTTTTATCAGGTTCTTTTTGTAATGTCTTTATGTTCTTTAATAATGCATGTTCCTTGTTAAATACAAACATTTTCTTTTTCAAAAACCTGCATGTTCTTTTAATTTTTATTTATTTAACCACTGCATGGTGCACCCGGGTGTACAGATCATGCATTATAAAATGTTTCACATGCAAAACTTTAAAATTATCAAAGAACAAAGCAAGTATTTGTAGTTTAGTCTTAGTTAATTCTTTGAAAATCTGTGAATTTTATCACCTCTGAAAATCTATTATTACCAATTGCTTTGTTTCCTTGATTTTTTTTTTCTTTTAATAAATAACTAGTGAGTAGCCCGGACGTTGTCCCGGGATGCTACTGTAGTAGACGTGCAATCATTAAATTTTTTCAAATGCTTTTCAAAACTACAATTGTCATTGTCAAACTAAAATTGAGTTATTCTTTAAGTATTTTTTTTTTAATTGAACCTTGTGGTTTGTAATTATATATATATATTGTTAAATAATTATCATTGTTATAAGAGGTTGAGGGTTCGAACCTCCTTATCCTTATAAGCCCCCAAAGTCAACTGGCTAGGTTGACGTTAGCCTTTAAACATTATAGCGGATCAAGTCCTATATTGTCAAAAAAAAATATGAGAGGGTAAAACACTTTATGATTTACTATGAAACCATTTTTGGTCATGGAATGTGGACATTGTCTTCTTTGTATAGTATGGGTTTGGAACTTTGGACTTATATGTTGTGATATATCCTTCTAAACACATGTAAGTGTTCCATATTGATAAAAAATAATAAGAGGGTAAAACACTTTATAATTTGCAATGAAACCATTTTTTATTATGTGACGTGGAATTTCCCTCACTGTGGCGGGCGCGGCAGCCCTTTAAATGGTTATTTTTGGGGAAAAGAAATATGGAGAACACTTATATAGTCACGTGGCTTCTCTATCCGGATCTCCAAAATCCTTGTGGAGAAAGAATGACATTAAACTAGCAGCTCGCTCAGTGGCTCAGTGCGCATTAAACCCCTACTTTGTTACTGGTTCACTCCGATCGAGTTTATGGATTGGATTAAGTCAGCGCCGCGTTATATTGTTATGGACAGGTTCAAAGGCCAAATAGATGGTGAGTCTATATTTGAAACATTCAATATTGGGTTGTACTTTGAGAGTGAGATGTTGCTTGTCACAATGTTTGAGTTTGAAACATTCAATATTGGGTTGTACTTTGAGTTTACAACTTTGTGTAGAGGATCAGAGATCCAATATTATATTGATTGGGCTTTCAAGCCTTTGACATCTTCAATGCTCACTTGTTTTTTTCGGCAAAGATAATAAAATTATAAAGTCCCAAACTTGTTTTGGAATAGTAGAATACTAGATTACATGTGCATATATATTGGCTCAATCAACAAAACAGCAAATGATCAAATTGTCTTTAAAATTGAACCAAATTTGAAAATTTATAAAACTTGTAACAAATTTCCGATTGAACTTTCAATTGTTATGTTAGTACTTGAGATTCATAGTACTTGAAGCGTACATAAATTTACATTTGTGCTTCGTTTGGTGACAAAAAATTTCCTCTAACTTGTGACTAATTTGGTTAGTGCTTGAATCTTATATACACAAAGATTAATTAAGCAAACCTAAACCACAAAATCATAAAACGCTAAGTAATAAGAAGAAAAATACACAAGCATATCTCATGGTGAATTCAAAGGGCAAGAGAATCATAATGAAGGATCATCAAAACATCACATTACATTGCTTCTAATGATCATTAATTCAAATGTGTATGCATGTTTCATCACCTTTCTTCCACATTTATGATTAATCATGTGTCGCGCTTGTGGCTAGCCCTGACTTGATCACCGATGGACTAAATTGTCCTCCATCTTGACGAATTGGAATGCCCATATTTGTCGGCCCATTCAAATAAGTTCATCTATACACTCTCTCCTTTCGTCTATTTGATCACTTGCAACATCAAGCGAGTCGCTAATTGGCATGATTACCAAAATACCCTCCACTACAACGCCGCATGTTAGGACACTTACGAAATTGAAGAGGACGAAAAGGTAATACCACACATTTTCTGGCTCCCAAAATGCAGATATTGTCAATAACAACACTTGAGTTGCAAGACATACCAAAACTGTCGAAATAAGCATGTTAATACGAGCCTTAAGACGCTTATTTATAACAAGCGCGACAACCTTCCAACACGTTGTCAAGAGCGCAAGTGCATACACCACGCAAAAAGCCGCAAAAATCACGGTTCCGAATAATGGGTACGTGCAATACACAATACGGGCATTGGTTTCCTTATCCCTTAACAACACCGAACTACGGTAAAACACATGCGGTAAAAATAACCGCCCGGGCGAAACATTAACCGCCAAATAAAGCGCGATCACCAAGGGTAAACAAATGCTTGCAACGAACCCGATAGCCCACAAGTTACCGGGGCTCCGTTTCTTTATTGAGATATTTACCAAGAATAGAAGAACAACCAAGAACCCGGGTTCATACAACCCGAAAGAGAGAATCACATGGAATTTACAAAATTGGGTTTGGTGGGTCAAAGGAAGTGAGGGTAAAAACGGAAAAACAAAACTCTTTCTAAAAATAGGCAATCGAAAAAATTCGTTGATGGACCAAAGAGAGATAAAAACTACCAACAGAAAACGTGGGCCCCAGTGGGTGGAGAAACGCTGAAGCTTGAAAAAATGGCGGGATTTGATCCGAAGATGAAGGATGAAGAAAACAGAGACAAGAGAGAGAATGAGAAAACAGAGGATCAAAGCAATTGTGATTATATCGAAGGCTGTATCAACCACAGGTACAGTTGGGATTGAATAATGTGTTAGTTTCCCGATACTCGACGATGCCGGGGCCGGTGAAGATGCGATGAATCGAATCGAAGCGAAACCTTTAGGTATTGTGGGTGTGAATGATGACATTGATCGGTTGTAATGTGATGATTCTAATGTCAACGATGATTTTGATCAAAATATTGTTGTTCATGAATGTGGGAATAATTGGGGGAGAAGGAGGGCCAAAAAAGCCCCACCTTACCCCTGTTTTCGAACAAAAAAACAGGGGATGTTGCAGAGTTTTACAAGAAAGATCAAATTTTTTTTGGGAATTTTTTTTTTTGATGGAGAGAAAAATTGAGGGGAAGAAAAGAAAACTTTGTTTTGTTTTTTTGGGGGAATTTTAAGAAAGAGAAGCTTGAATTTCGGGGAAGAATTGTTAAGATTAGATAACTAAGTAAAGAAGAAGAGTTGGTATGTTGACTGAGGTTTATTAATATTGGTATTGTCTGGATTATTAAGTTTAATTAATTGAAAATATAAAGGAGTTGAATTTTGACAGAGTATATATTACTAAGGCGTTGATTGGCAGCTTAGTTGGTGGAGAGTTGCTCTTTGGTTGTATCACACTACAGGACCAGCTGTATTTAATCTTTATCTTAATGGATAATATATTGGATAAACAAAATTTTTTGAGATATATGGTAATGATCATATAATAGACCTGAATTATTTCAATTTTAATCTAATACTATCTTATGTGTATGATAATTAACATACAAAGTGTCTAAATGTCTAATTTATCAATCTAACTAGCAAATTGTTGTATACAAGTGTTATAATTGTAAGAATATGTATAATAGACACAGTAAACTCACATATAAAACTCTTGATCATGTTCTGTATAAACGAACTCCGTTTATATATAAGATACTTATGATTATTATGTGATTTTAAAGATTATACAAGGATATATACAAAAAGTAACATAATCCAATAGTAAGTATATTAATAGGGTTGGTGCTTCAAAAGTACGGAGTGAGGTAATTCTTAGCTGGCAAATATTGTAGATACTGTTGCTAGTGATTGCTATCTTCATAGGTGTATGATGAGAGGAGGAATAATTGTTTGTTATAAATCTCATAATGGTTTTGGTAGGTCGGTAGCCATATTGTATTTGTAAAATGGAATACATTTGTTGGTCCAAATCCCACATGTGAATAGATCGATCCTTCTTTTTTGGATATGGACAATTAATCACATTGTAATTAAGTTGGTAATATTAGAATGAATTGGGGCATATGACTACATTTGATTTTTTACGGTTAGTCTAAAGTATCATAATCATAATTATGATAATTTTTATTGCATTAAGCTTGTTGAGTACGTAGCGAAAACAAATCAAAATGTAGAGATTGAAAAGTATAATTAAGAAAATAATAAAGGGAAGATCAATAGCAAAGAAGTACAATAGGAAAACTCCACAAAAAAACCCATGACAATGAGCACTGATATAATCCACTATAGAAAAATTAGGAGAGTACAAGGCACTCTAAAATATTAGGGTGAGTACTTAGAAGCTGTTTAATTCACCTGATTTTAGCTGATCTGAACTTATTTTTTCTGATCTGATATGATCTGAACTTATTTTTTCTGATTTGACCTTATTTTAATTATTTCAATATTCTACTTTTAATGTTAATTAATATTAATATTAATGTTTAATTATTATTATTATTATTATTATATTATTATTATTATATGATATTATATTATTATTATTATTATTATTATATTATATTGTATTATATTATATTATATTATATTATATTGTATTATTATATTATATTATATTATATTATATTATATTATTATTACTATTATATTATATTATATTATTATTACTATTAAATAATAATAATAATAATAATAATAATATCATTATTATTAATGGAATTGTTTCTAAAATTTCAAAAGGTGAGATTGTTTTTGGAAGATAGGAGCAAAGGTGGGATTATTAGATTTCATTTTCCTTTTTTTATTTAAGCTTTTATATTTAACTTGTTTAGGGTGTTTAAGTGTTTTTTTATTCATTTGTTCCTCTATTGAACCTTGTTTTTATATACAGAAAAAGACTCTACCGAGTTGGAACCTCTCATAGGTTCTTCCGACCCATGTTAGCGCTAGGCTCCTCTATTGAAACTTGGAAGACATGATTTGGGTCACGCACGAATTACACTCCGTAAGTAAATTAAAAGTGCCAAAAATAAATAAATTAAAATGATACTCGTACAAAATAGATTGGTACTACATTTTTTTTTATTATTATTATCTTGCATTGTCATTATATTATTTTATGCATATGCAATATATAATCACTTATAAAATGTATCCTAAATGTTAATGAACTATTAGGATTGTGTTGGAGCATTGGATGAGACTCATATAAATGCAGTTGTAAGCGACGATGATGGTGTGGCACATCGAGGGCGTAAAGGAAAAAAAACATGGAATGTTTTGGCTGCTTGTTCCTTTGATAGGCTTTTCACGTTTATCAACGTTGGATTTGAAGGTAGTGCTCATGATATTACTGTATGGAACCATTGCTTAACTGTACCAGAATTTCGGTTTCCCCATCCACCTCCAGGTATAATTTAAAATAGTGTATGTTTTTACTCCATACATGATACTATACTAATATGCTGTATAACTTTATTTTGTAACAGGAAAATATTATCTAGTAGATTCTGGATATCCGAATACCGTTGGATATTTGAGTCCAATAAAAGAAAAAGATATTAGAACCCATTTGCCTGAATTTCGAAATGGTCCACCGCCACAAGGCATGCTTGAACTTTTTAATTATCTTCACTCTTCACTTCGAACAACGATCGAGAGATGTTTTGGACAATTAAAAGGTCGATGGAAAATATTGACAATGATGCCACAAATGGACACTAAACATCAATTGGCAATTATGGTTGCTACATTCACACTTCACAATTTTATTCGATTACATGAGTTGGATATACCCATTGATAGTGGTATAGAAATCGAACCAAGAGCAGATTATGATTTGTTTAACGAGAATCGTAAAGCTGTAATGAAAGAAGTACAACTTAATATAGCAAAGGAAATTTGGAACGTCTTGTAATGAAAATTATATTTGTAAACGTTTATGATTTGGAGCTTATAATGAAATTTTAATTATTATCGTTTATTGTTTGTGCTATTTAATAACATAGACAATGTTGCTAGTTCAAACAAACGATAAAATCAAATCCGATACATCATAAATCAATAATAATAATAATAATAATAATAATAATAATAATAATAATAATAATAATTTGATCTGAACTTATTTTTCCTGATCTGATCTGATCTGAACTTATTTTTTCTGATCTGAACTTATTTTTTCTGATCTGATCTGATCTGAACTTATTTTTTCTGAAATAAGTAAAAATAAGGGGAACTAAACAGGGCCTTAGTATAGTACAATAATAACTGTAATATGTAGGAAGACTAGTTGTAAGTGGCTTCCCTTGTGTGTATGTCCATCACCAATATCTATAGTTATAGATGGAGGTTGGAAGAAATGGATGAAAATTCCAGAAATACCTTCAATCATTCTTGTAGCTATAATATTTTAGAATATTCACGAACCATATCTTTTAGTTCCTTCTAATGTCAAGAATTCTCTAGAATGTTCAAGTAGATAAGTTTAGAGAAATCATGAGCAAGTAGTAACTTTGCTTGATTTTATCGAAAGTGGGCCGCTACACCCAACAATATGTATTGTGACAAAATTATTAAATCTGATTTAAAAAGTGAATTAAGAAGATTTTTGTTATAGTCGTTCCACTGTGTATATTAATATTTATTCTCATTAATTTTGTAATGTATGATCAAAGATCGACGTATATGTAATAAGTAAATAGGAAATAAAAGCTATGTATGAACTTTCAGCCTAGTTAATTATACGAGTATGAACTTAAATACTCCATAATTAGCATTATTATCTGAAATAAGATGGAGAGAGCAATGCAATTAAGTTATTAACTCGTGGCGGTAAGTGTCTTGTATGATTATGAAAACATTAATAATTTACTATAAAAATTGTATACATTAGTGTTAAAAACCAAAGAGTAGCATTGTATTGACCTTATTAGATCTCCCAATAAAACAAACAAAAACAAACGACTGGAAAAATCCTAATACATCAGTAACCAACTTATACCTTAAATAATTTCCAGTTTGCAAGTCCATGACATAGCTTAATAGCTAGACATACACATATTATTAATACAAGTACTATAGTAAGGTCAAAACTATACAAATCATCTTTATTATAATTAATGAAATTATTAATAATGTTGCTAATCTTGATTAGTTCTTCACCTAACTACAAGTACTGCTAATTAAAAAAATATACAATGAGCAGATAAATTGGACAGACACACAGATCCGTGGAACAACATACATTCTGTACTCCACCTTCGTCAACTAGAATTATTCCTTTGTATACGCACTTGCCCCCCACGAACCATGTCATTTTACTTTAACAACAAGATAATAAATCTCATTTTTATTCCACTTTATTATATGAAATACTACGTACTTTATGTCTTTATTTTTATACATGTATTATATAAAATGTATACATGTTTTTATTTTTTACATAACAGGAACAAGTTTATAGTATTCTAAATGTATGAGGTTTAAATGTTAGGGAAATTCTCAACGCTGACCCCAAACTTCTGCTACGCACACATGGTGACTCTCTTGAAAATCAATTATACAAAATGACCTTAGTTAAGAATTTTTTCCCACTTATAACTTTATTATTTTATTAAATTGTTAATTAAAATTAACTATGGTTAGATTTATTTTTAATAAAAAAACATTTTTAAAAAATTAACCACCACCAACCATCTACCCACAACACCACCTGCAACTCCACCAACACCTTCACCGAAACCCTAACTCTACCACCTCACCTCAGCCGAATCTCTAGCACCATTTCGAAGGGCTAGGTCGTCAGAGGAGAGAAAAAGTAAGGTGTTTAGAGTTCGGGTTTGGGTCTGAGTGGAGGAGAGAGAGAGGGAGGATCGTGGGTTATGGTTGGAGGAGCGGTTGTCGGTCGGGTTTAGATTTGGGCTTAGGAGAGGTCAGAGTAGAGAGAAAAGGAGGTTCGTGGGTTGTGGTGGGAGGATGAGCAGTGGGTTTGGTCTGGTGGCGGTGCGGTTCTTGGTCTGGTGGGGATGTCGGGCTGAGGTGTGGGAGAGGGTAGAGGGTGAAGGTGGTGGCTGGGTTGGTGGTTTTTATTTTTAGTTTTTATTTTATTTTTTTTTCAAAGTTCACCATAGTTAGTTTTTTTTCAAAATAAATAACACTCATTAATGTCATATGTGAGATAATTTTCTTAATTAGGGTCATTTTGTATAATTCAAAAAAAGAAGGTCACTATTGGTGCGTAGCAGAAGTTGAGGGTCACCGTTGATAATTTCCCTAAATTTTAATAGTCACAATAATAATGAGAAATTTTTTATTTATTACCTTTGAATCCTAATATGATGAGTAATAATATGATTGGTCCAATATATTTATTACGACATAGGTTTATATAATTGGTCCAATATAGTCAAAAGCTTAAAGAAGAATAGTAAGGTGGTACCAAAGGTCCAAAATGTAGAATGCGAATAGGAAAGATTTTTAGGATACAAGCGTGCAAGTGTATATATTATTTCACTTGATTATATAGTGTCAATAATAGTGGTGTATGCCCATGTATCTTAGTTATGCTTTGATCGTAAAATGTAAAAATGAAAAGTTTAGTTCAACTTGTTTCGTCTTTTAACAATACGGAGTAAGTCACATTTCAATGTTTTGGGTAATTAATTAATCCGTAGCTAGATATTCCGTACTTTATTATATTAGTGCACTTAGCGTAAGTGATGCTAGTGTCTTCATCCGATCTTCCGTCCACCCTTTAGCATGGGATTATTGCCTTGGGGAGAGAATATCAATTGTCATATGAGAACCAACTTTTTGTTAAAAGAGTCCTATTAACATTACTTACATTAGCCATAACTAGTTCGAGCGAGGGATGGTTTACAATTTATCACTAAGGGGTTTAATTGAAGCACATACACCTTGGCCTTGACACTCTATACTCCCTTCTTCCTAGCACATAAGCCTTGTTATAACTCTTATAAGGTCGGCCTAAAGTAATTAGATTTGCAAATAATTGTAAAATTTCATTAATTTTTGCAAGATTTAATTCTTTAATCTTTAATTCTCTTACCTAATAATTGGAAAATAATAATAATAATAATAATAAAACAACTATAAAAAATTAGGTAAGAGAATTAAAAATCTATACTTATATATTAAAAAGTGTTCCTACAAATGTCTATGTGCCACGTCATCCCCCCCCACTGTATCTTTAGGAATGAAGCCAAAACTCCTAACCATCTTAGCCAATACTCATTTCATGTCATATATTTAGATAAATACACTTATATCTCCGTCTAAATAAAATGATAAAAAGACCAATAAATTAAAGTAATGTGGGCCACACAGTCATTGTACTTTAGAGTTTATTACACTTGTCCAAATATTCATTCATTATATTCTTACCAAAAATTAAAAGAAAAAAATTGTGGATCATAGAATTGCATGTTCTCAGCTTCAAAGGGATGATGAAACGCACATGGTGGCGGACGAAGCAACAACAATCTATTATCATATATATATGATGATGGAAATTGTACTTGCAATAAGATTCAGAAGAGGGTTTGATTTCTGATTGGTGGTTAAAGATCACCAATTTAATTACCGCCACCATGACGGCACATCGTCGTCATAAATTTTCTATTGAGGTAGGCGATATAAAGACCTCTTAATTTTCCCTGAATATAGTGTAATTGAGTATGCAATTATTGCCAACCAATTAATTGTAGTTCTTTCATATTCCTTTTTTCATTTGGGGCCATCAATTCTAAATTAATTAAAATCCAAGTAAATAAGATGTAGAGTTTGTAACTGAAATGTAAATTATACAATGATTTTTGAATTGAAGTTCCGAATATATATATATATATATTATATATATATATTATCTGTTTTCTTGCAATTTCCATAAGGCTTGCTTATTTCCCTTAAAAGAAAGGTCATTAGCTTATTAGTGTTCCCTTATGTTTTCTCGTATAAATTTTAATTCCTCAATTTAATCAGTTTTTTTAATCTTCAATATCTAATTGGTTTATCTATAGATTCTGATTTATTTTTTTATTTTAATTTTTTTTTGGGGTTTTGGTGCAGAATTGAGCCTTGGGGTTCTTATACTCATTGTGGAAGTCAGGAAAGCTTATTGGAAGTCAATTTATTTTTGAATAGCTCAAAACTTATAATTTTTGGTGTATTTATTTTTTGGCAATGTATTTGTTAAGTAATACAAAGATAGAAGAATAGATTACTTCCTATGATGAATCATTTATTTTATCTTCTTTCCAAAGCTACACTTCTTCCTGTGATGTGAATAGGTCTCCTTCAGTTATTATGATTAACTTTTGATGTAGTTGTCTTTGAGGATTGGGGTTGTATGTTAGTAGGGAGGTTGAGAAATTACAATGTTGAGTATTGATCCGGATCTTGAGGTTTTTATTCTTTCTGAAAATTGTGAGTTTGTTGTGAGATTTATTTTCCCTACTCTTGTGGTAAATAAAAATTAGCTTAATGTAGTCGCATTGACTTTTCTGAATTAATGTAAATATGCTAATTGTTCCGTGAATGTCTTGGTCAATTGCAACTTCTACTTTGATTTATAGACATATATGGGAGGACAAGGTTTTGTAGACATATGTTAAAACTTTATCGTGAAAGTTTGACAGTATTGCAGTCATTAAGGTTTAAGCTCTTTAATTAAATGGGAAGATGTTTGAAAATTTTCGATGAGTTAAGGAGTAAGACTAGATAAGTTGTCGAACTAAAGTAATTTAAGTAAAGTGAGAGGATTCTGAGCTGGTGACTAATTTGACTTATAGTATATAGTATTTTGACAGAAAAACGCTTTATAACTTTTCTGTGTAGAGCTTTATTGGATATAACTAGGTGAAATTGGTTCAATGTCATATGACTACGTGAAATTTC